CCACAAGTAACCAAAGATGTTCCTGGAGTGCATTGATGACAACCCCCTTATCCAAGTGATAGAGGAGCCGACAAGGAGGGGAGACATGCTGGACCTTGTTCTCACCAATAGTGGGGGGCTGGTGGGGAATGTGTAGCTCAAGGGCAGCCTTGGCTGCAGCAACCATGAAATGGTGAAGTTCAAGATCCTTTATATATATTTATACAATTTTAAGGTTACATACAGTGGCTTTTGCAGAAGATGTGGTTCCATTAACTGGCACATGTGTTGAAGTGATGGTAATGCATGTTTTAGCATGAAGGGGACGAACCTCATTTTCTGTAAGTTCTTGCCATGTACAGGTTGAATTTTTTTAAAACTCTTTTTTCTTTGGGCTAGGTTGTGGTCATGGTGCAAATAAATTTTTGTAGTTAGTCACTTCTTACCCAGGTTCTTCATGGTCCTAAAGCCTGCCTCACTGTGGTGTTTTTCATGTCTTAATTTGACAAAATCTAGGCGGGAGGACAGATGTCAGAAAAGTGATTGGGAATTATGCTTTCTATGCATTTTACCAACTTCAAGGTTTTCTACGTTATTACAGTGTGTATTAATACATGCATGTGTGTATAAATAAAGTATTTGGGATAGGTGGGAACAATTGAAAATGAGAACAAGACAAATCTGTAAAAATATACTTGTTTTCTTCTTTCCTCTGGAAGAAAAGTTGTAGATGCATTCCTAGTGATGGTACAGTAGTATGTTACTAGTTTAAATCCAGGTTTCATGCTTCCGGTATGATCTTACGTTGAAAGCTGTAGGTGTTTCACCCTTCTGTCTAATCCTTTCCTGAGAAGAACAGAGAATTACTTGCAGTAAGTGCCGATTGACAAGTTTTCTTTATGGGCAACCTTTGTTCTTTTCACTTGACCGAAGCAATTTCTTTCTAAGGGATTTATTTGCTGAAGAAGTGTTTTTTTCCTATTATTTTTTCCATATCAGTCTTGGAACTCAAAGAAACAGAAAAGCTGACAAGAGTCAAGTCAGTAAAGCATGTTATCAAGAAGTGCCGCATCTTTCTTGTTTGTCTCTACAGAACAACCTTCTCCATTTAATTTTTTTCCTTTCTCCTTTTTTTTTCAGTATCTCTGAAGTTAGTTTCCACTCTTGCACATGAACCCTACTAAGCTTTTGCACAATAAACGTGAGCTTTTAAGGTTTTTGAAGCAGGGACGGAAGGTTTCAATCAGTGCCACTAAGTGTTTTTCCCAAGAATTGGTGAAGCAGGAGAAGTTACTGTTCTTGCTACATGTATCATCTGATAGCATCTACCCCTTCATCAGGTGCTAGGGTGAAGGTCAGAAATAGCTGCATCTCATAGCCCAGCAAAACCAGCACTTTTGAGGGAGTGTTCAAGTGGACTGTGAAAATAGAATATTGTTTTGTCAGATTTGTAATGAGATTCAGAGTCGGTTACAGAAAAGTATCTTCTGGAATGATTTAACTAAGGGCTGCTGCACAAGGGATGCAAACAAAAAGAAGGTCATTGAGCTGCTAATCTGCACTCCTGGTATAGGAGCTAGGCTATACTACAGCTAAAGGTCAAGTCACAGTTTGTGGCAGCCTGGAATGCACACAGCCTGATAAGGAGATGAAGTAATAATTGGCAGCACTGGTATTAGCCCTGTGAAAATTCAAGAGCTTTGCAGTAGATTAAGTGAAAAATATGAAGTTGGTTTTGAAAGGTAGTCTTTAAACCAAAAAAAGACCAGCAATCTATATGAACTCTTCATTTTATCATTTTAATAGAAAATGGTATTAAAAACTAATTGAAAATTAGCTCTGAAATTCTTGTTTCTTTGTGCTTGCACAGAAATAGAGCACCTGCTCGCTTGCTTTGAAACACTTGTGATATAACTTAGATATACCATATGGAGATCCCAACATACCCTTTAAAATGCATGAATGCAGTTTGTTGTGACCCATCACTAGCATGCTGTGTCACCTCAGGCTTGATCACTTTCTCCTCCAACAGGTCTCTCTTATCACAGCAGCCCTCCTTTCAGAGGCATCAGCAAAAGATTACTTGCTGTATCTAAGTATTTGAGGTATTAATTGAATGATTTCTTTTTTTAGTCTTGCAAATAATTTAAAGGAAACTTAAAGCCTTGTCTGATACTAAGCTCTTCAGGAGTCTGTCAAGGAGTGCCAGTTACTGGCTGTGAGATCTGCTCGACATGGCTGAGTGTTGAGATCCACAAATACTGAGCACAAGATCTTTAACAAACTGAAAAAAAAATTCCTTCATTGGAGATAGGTTTTTCCCTGTTTCATTGAGCATGCTTGTAAGGTATACTTACTAATAAAGTATCCTCTCAAGGCTGTGGAAAAACTCTTCAGGTGGTATTTTGAGAAATAGCGCTTAACTGTGCTTAAAGAATATTATGCCTGCACCTGTCCGTGAATTTTATTATCCTTCATGTGTCTGATTAAAAATATTTTACTCGTTCATTTATAACATCTTGTTTACTGTATTTGTGTCCTTGTCTTGCCCTCACATTCTCAGTTGGGATCCAAGAACACTTGATATTTTCTTTGGACAGTCCTGTTCTTAATGCTGCTTTAAACCCCTTTTCTCCCCAACCCCTCTCTTCTGTTTGTGTTTTAGCTCCTGCACCTTGAACTATCTTTGTATCGTATTGATTTACTTCCCCATTGTAATTCTGCCAACTTGCATACCGTCAGAATTCTAAACCAGAGCAGATTAAAGATGAAAATTCAGATGAATTTTATGCATGGGTACATTTTAAAAATGAAGTGGCCATCACTTAAACTTCTCTGGAAAGAGAAAGAAATGAATCATCTGCCTTTTTCATTAGATGATTGAGGGTAGGAGGACAATGGTGGCATGAAGTCATATTAAAAACAAATTTTTACTACCTCTTTCATCAGTCCCTGATTAGGTCAGAAAAAATAATTATGCATGTCACAAAAAAATATTAGAGTGGGTTTTTTTAGGTTTTGCACCACTTGGGACACAATCAAGCAAGAAGTAAGGCAAACGTAATATTAGATAGGAGCAGCCCAGCCTACCATACTACCATATGTAGCATACAATTCTTTGTTGGCTGTTTTGATTCTGTCGTCACTAAAGAAGGAGCAAAAAATAATTTAGGTATATTTGCTCTTGTCTGTTGTTTACAGCACCATGGGAAAATTAAGAAGACCAACTTTATGAAGAAACATGAAAAGGTATGTATTTTGCCTTTCTAAGCTGAGCTTGGCAACAAATTTTCTTTCTATTGTATTGGTGGTTTTGTATTTTGTTTTGCCTCCTTGTTTACTGTAGAAACAACAGAATTGCATAAATAACAATTATTGGTGCATTTGTTTTGTATATTTGTATTTTCATGTAAATTTCCAGATGATACACACATTTTTATTTCATTGAAATTTAACTGTAGCATAAATCTGTCAAGCTATGTTTTTGTGTATAACCAAGTGTCCTTAAAGCTATTTCAAGGACATCATACCTGGAAGGGCCGGTTACCAGAATTTGTCTCAAAAAGAGTAACAAGTGGTTAGTAGTTTTAAAAGCCAAGTCACTTTAATTCTCAGTGATGCAGTGGGGTAGAAGAGCTTAAGCTTGAATGTTAAGGCTTGGAAACTTTACGCTTCTATCCGTTGTTAGGGCTCAATCAGACTATTAACTAACCTTTCCATGGCTATAAATAGCTAAATATCATTGATTTCGGTGGAGCTATATGAGGTTTTACTGACAGAGGCTTGATGTGCTAGGAAAACCAAATACCTGTATGTGCATTTATAACTGTAATGTAAAAAGGGAAATCAAATTCCAACAGTTGTAACTTGTTGACTTAAACAAATCTGCAAACGAAGAGCAGTGCAGGCAGTGCTAAATCCCTGCCAAAACAATCATTACATCCTTTTCTCCTCTCTGCTGCAGACAGTGCAAATAATATGAGAAAAATTTTAATGTGATACTTAGCCTAATAATTCTTTGCTTCTGATCCTGCCTATAGCCTTTTCCCTAATTTTTCTCCTGCCATTGCGGGAGGACAGAGTCCTTGGCTATCCAAAGGCATTTTTCCAAGTTCTCTTAGTTGTGTAGGGGTGCAGGTTTTGCATGTGAAAGTGTAAATGAGCATAGTTTTACTTCAACATTGTAATGTGCTGCACTGCAAGGTAGATATTTATGTAAATTTAAGAATTCTGAAGGCTCTGAATGCATGTATCCTGTACACATAGACCTCGTGTTTTGTTCTGGCATGTGAATTCCTGAGAATTTCCATAGCATTGAGTTATTTTCACAACTGCTGTATTCTTGAAATACTTCCATGTTTTTATTAGTTGATAAGTAATTTTCAGTTAAAGGAATAATTATTGTATCTTAGACCAAAATTATATTCTTTACATACATCCTCTGCAGGAAATGGGTTTTGTTTTATTCTTTCATGGCAATAGATTTCTAACCTGGATGGTGAGATAGGAACAGCTAGGAATGTAAAAGAAATGGGAAAACAGAGATTTGATGAAGAAATACCAAGGTCGTGATCACCTTAACTGTACCATAGAGCTTGTTCTCTTTGTCACTGTTTATGTCAAATGGACTTGTTTTTGAGCTCACTACTCAGTGGTGCAGAAGTACCTGAATTAATGATAAATTGTTTTTAATTTTATTATTGTTCCTGCAGCAAACTAAATGCTGCTGAGGAAATACAAAAACAGAACAGTAGGAGGTTCTAGGGATGAGGGTAACTCAAGCCAATGTAAACAAAATAAATGGTCAAAAAGATGAGTAAGATTTCGATTACTTTTTACTTTAATTCGATTAATTCTAATTTTGTGGACTTTACATTTGCCCTACAGCCTAAGCATTGAACTGATATTCTGAAAGCATGATTAGACATGTGTGCAGGTAAAGAAGCTTGCTGTGTTTTCCACCTGTAACAGGGAACTTGCATAATCAGGAAAGACTTCTAAGACTGCACATGATCTAATACTTGCACCTGTTTGCTATATTAAGAATTAGTGTTACTTTAGAATTAGAACTTCAGAATTCTGCTAAATATAGGTAACAGAAAATATCTCTTGAGTTGACTGTGTTACATTAACCTCTGATTGCATGCAAGAAACAGGAATGTGTCTTAGGGATTAACAATAGGACAGGAACTTTGTGGCTTTTCAGGAGTACCTTTGCTTCTAGTCACAGAGCACTGGTTCTCTGCTTATGTGTCGCTTTATGGTTTACAGGCCAGGACCCTTTTGCTGTAAGTATTGATGCCAAAAAGTGAAATTGCTTGTAGGTCAGAGCACAGTCTGGTTTTGAAAGTTTTTGAGGCATGGTAGTGGTGATAGCGGTGAACAGGACTGCAGGTCTGAGGAGGATCTTCCAGATCTTTGTTCCTTTTACTGTACTGTAACCTTTATAAATATTTGCACAGAGATAAGAGTTGCCTGGATGTAAACATGTGTATTTTGGTACTGTGATTCTGTATGAGGAAAACTGAAATATAGGGATAAAGGATTACAATTGTAGTGTTACAAATAAAGGCTCATTTGCTTCAGTTGCTGTGACAGCTTATATCAATACACCTTCCCCAGAGAAGCTTGTCTGAAGGCTGATTTACAGGTCGGATTCACCTAACTCTGAGTGGGTGCCTGCATCTAAGCTAGTGTCTTTTTACAGACAGTGTAGAGCTAGTTCATGCAGTCGTCAAAGTGTAGGGTGTGATTCGTCTCATACTGAAGTAGGTTCTACTTTCAGTCAGATGAATTGCACCATAAACTGTATTGACTAGATTTCTACTGGCGATAATGGGAACTCAGGAAACTAGTTTGGCTGTACATACCTACTTGGCAGGAAGCTAGTATTAGATGAAATAAATCCTTCCTTAAAAGTTTAGAAATAGACAGACTAAGTCTGTTTCTTGATTCTTAACTCTGTTCAGTCTAGAGGTCATGGGTTTTTTATTACAAAAGTAAGTCTTGTGAATGAGGGGGAAAATTGATCTTTATAATGTTATTAATTGCCTTGTTGCTGACAACAGCAGAATTTGTTGGGTTTCCTTGAATGGTTGCTCTGGAACAATGTTTTTCCAGTTTAGTATCCAGCAAGAGATCTTCCTGGTGAAGCCTGTTTTGCAGGAGTGTGCTTTTTCAGATGCCAGTCCATCAGAAGATCAGGTGTGGTGTTGGGTTTTTATTGGAAAAGAGTTTGTCTAGTGTAAGTGCTACAACCTCAGCCTGGGATTTGTTTTGTATCAGAATTTCTGCTTTACAGCTGAAGATGCTTCATTCGTATAGCAACCAGGGAACTTCAGAGCTGCTTTCTGCTGGAAAAAAAGAGAAGTACAGTTCTGTCTTTAAGTATATGCTAGAAAGGTTGAAAATTCAGCTAAGTGAGTTGAAGAACTTTCTCCCTTTTGTGCAGGTAATTTGGTTTGAGTTAAGGTTTTACTCTTTAAAGAACACTTTCAATTCTCACATAGTTGTTAATGAAGCTTTGGAATGTGAGTACTTGGCTTGCAGTTGTGGGATGGTGAAAGACTTAGGCCAATTAAACAGTGGGAACATGAAAGTCGGAGAATGTAGATGGCAACCACAAGCACAGGTAGTGTCAGCTGGGGAAGATCTTTCTGAACTATTAGATGAGTGGGTTGCCAAAAGGGAAAAGAAGATGGAAGACACAGTTAATTTGAGAGGTGCAAAACTTACTTACTCTTTACTGTGTTCTGTGTGGAGAAATTTCTAAGCCATTCCTCTTCTTCCAGGAATTTATTTCTGCTAAATAAATAAACCCAAAATGCTTCTTTTAGAAGTTGCACTCTACTAGAATTAACTCCTTTGGCTTTTCCAGAAGAAAGCATTTCTCTGAAATAATTTGAATGTTCTGAACAGTAGTCTCTCTAAGCAGAGAACTGGTAATATTAAGAACAAGAAACTTGTGAAGTAACTCTGTACTAAACACAGCTTCAGAGTTTACTACATGCTGATTGTGCTTGCTAGCTGCTTTTAATTACTGTGTGTTTGTTGACTTTTTCTGTTGATAGTAAATAATATTCTTGATAAAACCGGCATGTCAAAACTTTAGTATAGTACCCTCAGTCAGAATGCAGGTATTGTGTAAGTTAGGAACTGTAGAATCCTCTTCTGAAGTTTTGACTACATGTTTCAAATACTTTTCATATTACTTGCTTTGTTAGACAAAAGGCAGCTTTGGGGACACCTCCTGGATTTGAAAAGCTAAGACATTGTGCTGGGTTTAGTCAGGAAA